TCGAGAATTGTGTGCTCTTCCTAAAATAATTATGTGGCTTTTTTTCGATTATTGAAATATTACTGTTAGTCTGATATATTTTGGATTGATTTTAGCATAAATATTGCCTTATATGTGTGAATTTGTACTCGTAATATTTCTCTTATTTGATTAATTTAGCATCTTAATTGATTCTTTAAATGTGCTAATTCAATTAATTTCTTGTTCATAATTTCCCTGCTATTATGCTGAGCTAGATTTCCATAGATTGTTAATTAGCTTGCCTGTCTATGCTTAATTCATGGAAATCTCTCCTCCCCATGGTAAGTCTAAAGGTGTATATTATTTCTTTCCTTAAAATTTTATTGCCTACTTTTATTTTATATTAATTAATAATGTTGTAAATTGATCTCTCCTTCCCTTAATAGTTCTCTTGACTGATTCTTACTTGTCATATTTATAGTTATCCATGAATAAGTGAATTGGTGCATATTTATTAGCCCCCTTACCTTATTGTGTTCTTCCCGTATATACATGTTTTTCATTGATTGTATCCTTACCTTAATTAGAAAATAGTTTAGTACTGTTTTTAATTTGGTAAAAAATAAATTAAAGCAATTTGACCGATTCAGTTCTCTTATGATAAGGAAAACTAATTTTTTAAATTGATTTATCCATTTTCCTTATTTGTGCCCCCTACCCTTAACTATAAAAAGGATCCCTCCTTTCATTATTTGATTTAGACATTGGTTTACACTCGAAAATACTAAAAAAATATCGCTCTCTACTCTTTAAAAGAATTAAGTTTTCCGGTAAACAAAAAGCTCCCTTCTACGTGCTATTTTACTGTGTTCGGGTCGGTTATTGGATTAAGTGTGGATCTTCATTGTTGATTTCTTTTACTGCATAACTGGTTCGTATCCTTTATACATGTTTAATTTCTGTTCTGCATCATCTTAGCTATCGTAAGTCCAAGATTGGGTATTAATAAATAAAAGAAAGCATCGGGGTCAGTTTTCTTCTCCCTCTATTATGTGTGATCTTATATTTTTGTTTGAAAGAATTGCTTGTTCTAATCTGGTGTGTATTCTCTGAGCTATTTTATAATTAGTTTGTTGTACAAGTGTGATTTTATATGTTATATCCACCTACTCTTCCACTTTGATTTAGCAGGTTGAATTTAGTTCCGGAGTTCGAAGAGTTGCCTGGGAGGGGTCATTGGGACAAGATTTATTTTTAGCCATATTATTTGTATTTGCTATTATGTTTCTGTAATAATTTTGTTGTGTAACTCTAACTCTCTCTCTCTATATATATATGCGAAATAACTTAGGGGACCGTCTAAGGGGGAGGGGGAATTACGGGCTAACTGTTCTTTTACTTATTTAATTCATTACATGTGATTGCTATAAAATCTGCCCATGTTGCTTGAAACACGTGAAACATGCTTATATGGCCAAATTTCTTAGATAATCTGCCTAAAACCAACCTTTATTATAATTGACCATTATGTGATAAATCTTGTTTCATAATGTGAACATTTATTTAGAAAACCAATCTAGTTGTTTAGATTTGGACTACTTACCTTAGCATGTTAATATTGCTAAGTAGTTTCTTGTCATTCAAAAGATGACACAAAGCCACTTCTTCAAGACCCAGTAAGTGTTAACTTCTCCATTTTATTCAACAACTACTCAGTTAACTTCCTTCCCAATTAATCATCTTTTCCTTGTTTATTTCTGTGTGTAGATACTCAGATCAGACCCATTGACATTGAGGAAGCTCTACTGCGCTTGCCTCCTTTTCCTATTTCTAAACCCAAATCTCAAACCCAGTGATTTTTTTAAATCTTTTTATTGATTTTGGATCTGATATGACCCAATTTATTTGGGCAAAAATTGTGTTTCGATGTAATTTGAGTGTTCTGCAAAACCTTTTATAAACCCTTTTGGATGCCCTTTTTACCCAACCATATATTCTCTGCACAAAATATTAGTAGTTGCATACCGATAGCGTCTTGTCCTTTGATTTCTCTAACTATTTGTAGATTCTTTGTACCTTCGTCATCCTATTGTTTTGTTATTATCTATTTTTCTTGTACTTCTGTTACCTTTTTTGGTCTGCTTTGCAATGTTTTTCCTTGAGCTTCTATTGGAAACCATCTCAAATATTGCTAAGTAGTTTCTTGTCATTCAATTTTCCAACTTCTGTTGATTCTTGTACCTCGATTATCATATTGTTTCGTTACTCTCTATTGTTTTTGTTATTATCTAATTTTTCTTATTCTTTTTCTGGATTACTTTGCACTGTTTTTTTTTCTTGAGCCGAGGGTGTATCGGAAACTGACTCTACCTTTGAGGTAGGGATATGTCTGCATACAATTTACTCTCCCCATACCCCATGTTGTATGTTATTGTATAGAATGAGATACCAAATGATGAATCAATCATCTTAGAAGTCAGACCTATTTGTTCGATTCTTTAGCATGACTCTTACCACAAATAATACGAGCTTACTAATGTATTAGTTTCAAGTAAATGGGCATGTTTAAATGATACTTTAGGAAATTAAAATGCCTTGAAGTGTCGGACAAGAAGAGTAAACCTCTAAAATTTGCTATCTATATTGGCATATAAGAAGTGAGATTGAGGAGGTTACTTTAATCCCAAACGTAATGTTGCCTCACCGATAATCAACAACTCTTTGGAATGATGATAAGACCGAAAAGGCCATAAGTTTTAGCTTACAGAGTTTTGTGGGTATCCTAATGCTGAATGTAACTATATATCCCGGACATTTTCTTACTTTTAAATCTCATAGCTGAAAAAGATAGTATTAACTAATGATAAAGTGATTAGAGTAGACAGGAAAAAGATCTATCTCAGAAGGAATTTAATGTTGAGCTTTTCTATTTGACATGTAATTCTTCTTTTAGAATGTGATTATGTATTACCAAATAATTATGCGACACTCTTATGTGAAAGTTGTTTCTGCATAGTTAATGTCTCCATCTATGAAGTTTTACGGCGACTGACTTTTGAGCTTTAAGCTGGCACAGTGATCTAATTCTTGTTTTAAGAGTGAAAGGATTTTCTGCAGCTGAGACATAGATTGATCTTTGTAATCTATTGTATGTATTTTTGCAGCACCTCCTTGGCACTTTGTTAATGAAATTAATTTTGCATTACCTAAAAGAAAAAGAAATGTGGGGAGACCAGACAAATTTTTGTTAGAATGTACTGTGACTAAGTTGTTGTATTTTGTCTTCCAAACTTCTTTGCGCCTTTGAGGAGTCGATGGAGAATGATGGAAACTGAGTTTAATAAGATTGATGTAAGTAAGTGATAGCTATCTATTATCTATCTCCTTTCTGTCCTTTTGCATTTCCATGGTTTGTGGTTTCGTGGTAGGTTGGTATTAAACGATTTTCTCAAGTTCTACTAGGTGATAAGGTTGGTAGCTTCTTTATTATTTTCTCTTAGTTGAAAAAATGTGAACCTTTGCTCTCCTTTTGATACTCTAGTCACCGAGTCTTTCCTAAATTCGGCTTTATGTTATCATCACAGAGGAACCAAAACTTCAAATTGTTTTAGCAAATTCGGCTTTATTCCGTAATTATCGTATTATTTGAGTTTTAGGTTGATTTGTCCTGGTGATAAGACGAGTGTCATCACGTTCATTTTTGGATCGTGACATGTTCATTGTTTCTTGATAATCAAATATTATTCATTGTATCTTTATTAAAAATATTCAATGTATGATAGTGCGAGAATAAACTATATGAGAAACATAGGAAATTTCTTGAAACCATATCCAAAAAATAGCTTCTCATTTAAAAGGTATCACAAAATCTTTATATTTGTACAAAAGAGATCATTCCTCATGCACTCAAAAACATTTGTAGTAAGTGGTGGCAACACTAGAATTTTCGAATGCAATAAAAAAAGTTAGAGATGTGCTTCAACTAGATTTATATTTTAACAAAAAAAAAATACAGTATAATCGTCTTTCACTAAATTGTCTTAGATATATTTATACTTTTAAAAAATTGTTAATTTATAATATTAATGATACTATATATTTATATAAGGGTCTTCTAGAAATATATTATCTTTTATCTCATCGAAATGAGCATTTTCCATTAGCCCAATCCGGGACCGTAAGAAAAATATTATGTTAGAAAATGAAGTCATCAAAATCATAAATTGAGTGTGGTGGGTAGGGGTGTTCACGGTTTGGATAAAAACCGATCCAAACCAAAAAACAAAACCAAACTGATAAAATAAAACCGATTTATTTGAGTTTGGTTTGGTTTGGTTTTAGATTTTTGAAAACCGAAAGTATTTGGTTTGGTTATGGTTTTATTCGAAAAAAATCGAAGAAATAACCGAACCGAACCGATGAATTATATACATATATTTTATTAATATACATACTTAATATATTATTTTTATAAACAATTTTAAAGATCTTATACATGTTTTCATTAAAATTTCTTTATAATTTACTTATTGAAAGCAAAAATGCCCAAGATGAAACATTTATCTTATTGATTTCATGTATATGAGTGTCTATGACAATTCTTTGTGGGACTGAAAATGTTATTGTCTCTTCCTTCTAGACCAATATATTGAATTTTAAAGCTTTATTGATAGTAAATTTAGTGATCGAAAGTTCAGTAATTTAAGTCATTCTAACTATTTTTCGTTTTGAATGGATTGTTATCACTTTTTTCACATTTTAAATGAATTGTTTCTTTATTTTTGTGTATGGTTAATAACCGAATAACCGAACCAAATCAAATCGAAACCGATAATCACCAAACCGATAAATGTATATTATATTTGGTTTGGTTTAGTTTTGATAATTTTAAAATCGATTAAGTTGATTTAATTTTAATTTTAACCAATAATCGATCCAAACTAACCCGTGAACACCCCTGGTGGGTGCTTCAAAGAAGCTAGAAACAACTTAAGCGGGGGAGCTGTTTGTTTGTAATTTGGAAAAGAGTAAAAATGGATATGAAGGGCGGTGAGGAATCAAGCATGAGCGTTAACGGCAAAAGCGAAGTGAAGAAGATGACAAAACCCCCTTTCAGGCCCGCAAAAGATGACACAAAGCCACTTCTTCAAGACCCAGTAAGCGTTAACTTCTCCATTTCATTCTCTGTTAACTTCCTTCTCAATTAACCATCTTTACTTTGTTTATTTATGTTTGTAGATACTGAGATCAGACCCAATTGAGACTGAGGAAGCTCTCCTGCGCTTGCCTCCTTTTCCTATTTCTAAACCCAAATCTCAAACCCAGTGAATTTACTTATCTTCTTGTTCATTTTGTACTCTATTTATTTGGGCAAAATTTGTGTTTCTATGAAATTTGAGTGTTCAGCAAAATCTTTTATAAACCCTTTTGGATGCCCCTTTTTACTCAACTGTATATTCTCTGCACAAAATATTACTAGTGGCTTCATAGTTTCTTGTTCTTAGATTGTATTGTTTTTGTTACTATCTGCTGTTTTTGTTATTATCTCATTTTTCTGTTACCTTTTTTGGGCTGTTTTGCAATGTTTTTTTTGAGCTTCTATTGCAAACAGTCTCAAATATTGCTCCGGTAGTTTTTTGTCATTCAATTTTCCGCCTTTTGTTGATTCTTGTACCTCGATTATCATATTGTTTCGTTACTATCTATTGTTTTTGTTATTATCTGGTTTTTCTTGTATTTTCTTATTCTTTTTCTGGACTACTTTTGCACTGTTTTTTCTTGGGCTGAGGATGTATCGGAAACTATCTCTACCTTTGAGGTAGGGATAGGTCTGTATTCACTCTACCCTTCCCATAGCCCATGTTGTATGCTATTGTTTAGAATGAGATACCAAATGACAAATCAATCAACGTTGAAGTCAGACCTATTTGCTTGATCATTTAGCATGACTCTACCACAAATAATACGAGCTTACTAGTCTATTAATTTCAAGTAAATGGGCATGTTTAAATGATACTTTAGGAAATTAAAATGCCTTGAAGAGTCGGACAAGAAGAGTAAACCTCTAAAATTTGCTATCTATATTGGCATATAAGAAGTGAGATTGAGGAGGTTACTTTAATCCCAAACGTAATGTTGCCTCACCGATAATCAACAACTCTTGGGAATGATGATAAGACCGAAAAGGCCATAAATTTTAGCTTACAGAGTTTTGTGTGTATCGTAATGCTGAATGTAACTATATATCCCAGACATTTTCTTACTTTTAAATCTCATAGCTGAAAAGGATAGTATTAACTAATGATAAAGTGATTAGAGTAGACAGGAAAAAGATCTATCTCAGAAGGAATTTAATGTTGAGCTTTTCTATTTGACATGTAATTCTTCTTTTAGAATGTGATTATGTTTATTACCAAATAATTATGCGACACTCTTATGTGAAAGTTGTTTCTGCATAGTTAATGTCTCCATCTATGAAGTTTTACGGCGACTGACTTTTGAGCTTTAAGCTGGCACAGTGGTCTAATTCTTGTTTTAAGAGTGAAAGGATTTTCTGCAGCTGAGACATAGATTGATCTTTGCAATCTATTGTATGTATTTTTGCAGCACCTCCTTGGCACTTTGTTAATGAAATTAATTTTGCATTACCTAAAAGAAAAAGAAATGCGGGGATACAAATTTTTGTTAGAATGTACTGTGACTAAGTTGCTGTATTTTGTCTTCCAAACTTCTTTGCGTCTTTGAGGAGTCAATGAAGAATGATGGAAACCGAGTTTAATAAGATTGACTTTAGTAAGTGATAGCTATCTGTCCTTTTGCATTTCCATGGTTTGTGGTTTCGTGGCAGGTTGGTATTGAGCGATTTTCTCAAGTTCTCTGTTCTACTAGGTGTTAAGGTTGTTAACTTCTTTATTATTTTCTCTTGGTTGAAAAATGTGAACCTTTGCTCTCCTTTTGACACTCTAGCAATTGTACCCAAGGATGAGTCAACTGAGTCTTTACTAAATTCGGGTTTATGTTATCATCACAGAGGAACCAAAACCTCAAACAGTTTTAGCAAAATATATATCGTTGAGTGTGGTTAAAGATAACATCAATTCTCTTCCACATGTTTTCTTGTTGGAGGTATAATACAGTTCCAACTTTATTAACAAGATTTCTTGATATCTAAATGAAGTTTTTTTACTTTTTTAGTCTGCCCTGATATACAAATCATTTATGCCCTTAAATGTATTGCATTTTTGTTAAATCTTTTTGTGTGTGCGCATTCTATAAAGATCAGTGTATTATAATTTTATGGGTCTGAAAATTATTTGACAAAGGACATGAGGTAACAACCGTTTGTATTATCTTTGGCTTGAAGTAGCAATAGAAGAAATCCGAGTTGTTTCTCTTCATGAAAATAAACTATTAATAATACAGGGCTTCTACATGTTAACCTGAAAGTATGATAACTCGTTGTGCCTGTAGTTTCATGTTTGTATAATAATAAAACATACATGAACTTTCTCTTGTTTTATTGTAAATAGATATGCCTTTTCTTTCTATAAATTGCCAAGTTTTCGATTCAGAATCTGGAAAAGAACCATTGCTTAATTGAAATTTGAAAAACGAATAGAGTTTTAAGCAGAAGACGTTTCAACTTTAGCATCAATAACTGGTGAATTGATTAGTAGTGGTCTCTCATAAAGGAAGTTCTGGTTCCTTTGTTTTGGATGAAGCAAGATAGTTCTGCTTCTTTGAATATGTTCATAAACAACAGTATCGAGCTTGTGTGGTAATTTCTACCTTCTCAATTATAATTTTCTCTTTGAATTTGAGTGGCGAGTCGTGGCTCAAATGTTTAGGTTAAGTCATGAAGTGGTTTTTTTGTTGTTGGGATTGGAATGTTGGTACTTTCTTTATCCTTTTGTCTTAGTTCTGATTGACGATAATACCAATTGATCTCCAAACTTTCTTGGATTGTAATACTAGTTTGGTAGAGATGAAAGGTAGATGAGAGATGGAAGGTGAAGTGGAATTGTAATGCTAGCTTGGTAGCCCAATATCTGAGTTTTTAGTTACTCTTGATATTCAAAGTAATGGATTGTGGCATTGAAGGTTCACAGTTCAAAACGTGAGTTATTTTTGATAGGATTGGAACATCTATGCTACTTAATGCCGTTTGGTTTAAGTTCTGTTCATGATAAAACACTTGTTCTTTAGGAGTGTTTGGTACGAAACGAAAAAACATATTTATTTTCTTGTGTTCGGTACATAAACAAAGAAAATTATCGTAAAAGCATTTGTATATAATTTAGACAAATGTATGAAGAGGAGCTTTGATATAACTGGTAAAGTTTCAACCATGTAACTAGGAGGCCACAAATTTGAGCCATGGAAATTGCCTTATGTAGGGTAAGACTGCGTACAATAGACCCTTGTGGTCCAACACTTCCTTGGACTCTACATATAGCAAGAGTTTAGTGCATTCGGCTACCCTTTTTCACTATGAGAGGTGGGGTAGGGATGAGGTGTGGGGTGGTGAAGATGGGGACTACGGGGCAAGGTAAAGATGAGAAATTATATGTATCTAGGTCGACTTTTGGCAACCAAAACTTCTAAGTGGGAATTATTTTTTGGGAAATAAGATTGAACTATAAACAACCACAAGGCTTTGATATAGTGATTAGAGCACATCACGTGACGTGTGATTTAGACACACATTATGGCGTCATACCACACTAGTCGCTATAGATAAACGCCAAGTAAAGTGGAGATGAATAGAGGTAAGGACTCATTATTCATCCGAGTTTCAGAGGTAAGGACTCATTATACATCCGAGTTTAGAACCCTGCTTTACTTGCACTCCAAAGTTTCTAGGTTGTAAAAAAGAAGAAGATTGAAGCCTATACAACTTGGACTTAATTTTGTTGTCGTTTGTACGTCAACATGATGATGCCTGTGGCAAGAGAGCACTGATAGCAACTGTGCAGTAAGTTAAGCAAATGCCCAAAGCCTAGGCCCAAAATTTTAGTACTTGTTGAAATATAGAGTTGCATGGGATGTTTACAAAGCTCTACAACGGTTTTGGTACAAAACCGAAATCCTCCCAAATCACAAAGGAAAATATATCTTAGACAATTTAACAATTTCCCCCCATCAAATGAATTGAAAGAGGGTACATCAGTTTCAGTTTCTTGGATAAAACTCTCTAAGAAAACATAACAAGAAAGATGGCGGAGGTTGTGAATGAGTTCATAATGAGTTCGAAATATTAATCTACACCCCAAAGTTTTTAATTACTCTAATTAAGTCCACTTTTCTGTTAATCCTCTTTGACTTGGTCAATATCACCAAAAAAAAACCAAGACTTATTTGACACCTTTGAAGCAATTTTCTCCTGTTACTTTTGTGGACCCCAATTATATTAAGTTTCACATATTCATACATTGTAAATATCTGGGTCCATTTGAGTTGAATTCTCTACATTGCCCCTGCTTTATTCCTTCAGCATATAACATTATTTATTTTTTATTAGAAGAACTTAGTGAGATTCACATAAATGAAATAATAATATAACAAATTTAATGCACTACAATAATTAAGAAAAATGCCATAACAAAACTTTGCCTACCCTTGTTTAAAAGACATTATTCCGAATATTTTTTGTTAAATATATAGCTAAATATTATTTCACTTAAATTCAAATAAAATGATTTTTTTAAAAAATATTAAGATTTTATATGGAAAAAAATTAAAGTATAATAAAATTAGTTTTCCTACTATTTTATTATTATTGATAAAGTATTATAGGCAAGTGTAACTTAAATAAATTATACCCAGTACAGGCTACTTGTAACTAGTTATATATATAGAATATAAAAATAGTGATTAATAATGGTCTAATAAATTAGACACCAACCCAACTTGGCCGCCTTCGTAATGTCTTATTTCCTTCAACCCTATAAAGACAATTGTTCTATCCCGCGTCACTTTTTTTCCCTATGATTTGGTGTTATTTCGGCCTTATTGTTGTTGATCAAGATATTGGGTAATTAGTGTTTGATCAAAATTCTAGGTGATTATTGTATGATCAAGATTCTGCGTAATTATTGTGCCTTATCGTTATTGTTGATATGGGTCATTATTGTTGCCTTATTGTTATTGTTGATACTCGCTAATTTTCGTTTGATCTGGGTAACTATTGTTGATATGGGTAATTACTGTTTGATCAAGATAATGGGTAATTATAGTTTGATCATAATGGGTAATTATAGTTTATTCAAGAAATGAGTAATTACTGTTTGATCAAGGTAATTGGTAATTATTGTTGATTAAGAGTTTAAGACATATGTAATTACTGTTTGATGAAGA